TGGGCCTTCCAGGAGACCGGTGTGGACAGCGCCGTGGACACGGTGAGTAGCGTGGCCCTGGCGGGAGCAGGGAGGCTCGCATCCCGGGAGACCAGCGCATTCCCAGGAAGCGAGACAGAAGTGCTTGGGCTCTGAGCCCCACCCTTTGGAGAAAAGGCCCCAGTCCAACCTGCTGGGATGTGACTGCGTGAGGGAGGCGCGGGTCACACCAGGGCTTGCTCTGCACGCTCAGCTGGTTACCGGCCATCCTCTGCCTGCCTGTCTGCAGCACTTCCCAGCTGGAATATTTGTGAGGCTGGAATTTAAGCTCCAGCAGACAAGCTGCCGGAAGAGGGACTGGAAGAAACCCGAGTGCAAAGTCAGGCCCAATGGGGTGAGTGACCGGGTGTGAGAGCAATGGGCGCATGCTGGGTGTGAGTTCATGGACTTGGGGTTTGGCGTATGGGGCACATGCCTGGGTGTGCCTGCATGGAATTGGGAGGTCTATTAAGAAGCCCTGAGGTTAGAGACCCCACTGTGAGGAGCCTCCTTAGAGGTGGAGCGGCTCAGCCTGAGCCCAAGGTTGTGAGGGTGGTTGGTGGGGAGCAGGGGCCTGGCAGACAGGAAGAGGGTTTGGTTACCCCTGGACTTATCTTCATCAGAGCAGGGCTCACTTCTGTCTGAGTTCCTCTCAAGCTTCAGGGCCTGGGTGGAAGGAGCTCGCTGTGTGGATGTGTCTGGTGCCCTCCTAGCCTAGCGGGGCTCCAGTCATCAGCCACGGTGGGGGCAAACCCTCCAGCATGGGGGTGATGCCTGGGATGGGAGTGCAGTGACTGTTCTAGTTCCCACTCTGTGAGTACTGCCTGGGCTCTGTATTACAGGTTCTGTAAAGGCTCCAGTTCCCTCTGTCGGCTCAAGGAGGGCACTGGATTATAGCAATGATTCACCAACCTCAAATCAAATCTTACAAGAAAATGTAATAAACAGAATAGGTGACAGCTGAGCCACTCTGGAGGCGCTGGGTGGGAAGAACCCATCGGAGGAGGATTCTTGCCTTCACACAAGCACAAGTAGATACGTCCATGCATACATCACACACCCATCCACCCACACTCCTGCATACAAACCACATACATGCGTGTTCATGCATGTGCCACACAACCCATCTGGGAAGGACTCCTGTGTGCACACACACGAAAGTTCCATAGTTTGAAAACTGCATGGGTCTGACTTCCAACATTCTAGGGTGGGCTGTGCCTAAAACCTGCTGGCCTGCATGACCTCCTGCTCCTGGGCTCGAGGGCCTAGCTGGGAATCTGGTCCCATAATGGGCAGCACTGGCTCCCACCCTCATGATGCCCAGGCCTCCCTCACCCCTTTCCTCTGCTCACCCCATGCTCCCCCCCTCCCCCACAGAGGAAACGGAAATGCCTGGCCTGCATCAAACTGGGCTCTGAGGGCAAAGTTCTGGGCCGGATGGTCCACTGTCCCATAGACACACAGGTTCTGCGGGTAAGAAGGGGCAAAGGTGCAGAGGTGGGGACAGGGCTGGGAAGATGGATGGAAGCTGAGCCTATGGGCCAGTCCCCAGGCAGAAGCTTGGCCAAGCGGGAGGGAGAGTGGGGGCTAGAAAGCGCTATGCCTGGTTTGGACGTTCTCCAGGGGACGTGCAGGTGGGCCCTGCCCAGGATGCTGGCAGCCCTCCACTGGCATGGCCTTCCCCTCTCCGGGGCACTGCCTGCCCCTCCTATACTGCCTGAACAGTTGTGGGTCCTGGCAGGAGCCTGAGGAGCACCAGGAGACCCAGTGCATCAGGGTGCAGCGGGCTGGTGAGGACCCCCACAGCTTCTACTTCCCTGGACAGTTTGCCTTCTCCAAGGCCCTGCCCCACAGCTGAGCCAGCACTGGTAGGCACCAGGGGACAGAGAGCACCGTCTGGATGGGGCCAACCCAGGGAATGCTGAGGGGCTGGGCTGGGCTTTGGGAGCCTGGGAGGGGACAGGTCAGGAGCCTAGGGGGAAAGCTGGAACTGGGGCCGAAGCAACCTCCCTCACTCCCAAACCTGTTTCCCTTTTGTCTAGAGCTGCATGGTGCCTCTGGGACCGCTGTCGGTGGTAACCAGTGGAAGACCCCAGACCCCCAGGAGAGGACCCCGTTCTATCCCCGGCCATGATAATAAAGCTGCTCTCCCAGCTGCCTTTCAGCTCCTTGTGTTGCATGCCTTCCTCCTCAACATAGCTCAGAGGCGGCCAAAGAAGGCAGGGGGACAGCACCCTTCCTGTGGGCAGGGTTGCAGAGCCTCCTGTGCTCCAGAGCCAGAAGTGCCCCCATGAAATGCCAGGCAGGGATGCAAATGAAACAGAAGCATTTAATAGATGTGTGGACGAGAAAGGGCAGAGAAAGTGCCAGGGCGGGGCGGGAAGGAGTACAGTAGCAGTCTGGAGAGGCACATTTGCAAGGCAGGGGAGTCCCGCTTCTGCTTCCAGGAGTGCTCTGGGCCACTCAGCCTGCCTACTCTCTCCCAGCAGCTGGGAGGAGAGGCTGGCCCATCCCTACCTTTCTCGCCTGTAGCCTCAGGAGGAAGTAATTCCTTCCACCAAGTCGCAGGCTGGAGCAGCCCGGAGTGGTAGCAGCTGCGGACACAGGCGCACGGGTGGTGAGAGCCTTTACACCTGCTCAAGGCCCTTCAGTGCCTCCTTGCAGCATGTGGAGGGATCATGGGGAGGGGCTGCTCTCAGGATAGGGATAAAGCAATAGCCCAGCACGCAGGGCCAGTAACCAGGGTGAAGCAACCAAGACGAGTGTGGGGGCAGGGAGGGGAGCTGGGGGCAGGGAGGGGAGCTGGGGGCAGAGAGGCCACCCGCCAGGCTGTCCTGGGCCATGGGCCACGTTCAGAAGACGAAGGAAGAGGTGGGGCCCGCAGAGCTGAGTGCCTGCTCCGCCTGGGCCAGGCTGTCGCTGGCCTGGCGTTCCAGGTCCCAGCACTCCTGCAGTGTGTCCTGGAACTGCCGGCAGGCCTCCTCCAGGATGGAGCTGCTCCGGCTGGGCCAGGACTCCCAGTAGCCTGGCTCCACCCAGGGCTGGGCCTCGGTGGCTCTGGGGCCGGGACTGGAGCTGGGACGCAAGCTGTCCAGGTCTCGGCACAGCTGGTAGAACTCACTACCGCGCCCAATCACACGCTCACCATCGATGACTTTCAGGCCAGGCAGCAGCTCCCGGACTGCAGCCCGGTAGGAGGGGCTGGCACAGAGCGGGTTGCTGAGCCGGGCCAAAGGGTCTCGGAGCCGCAGGTACTCCAGGCACGGTAGCCCAGCCAGACACTGCAGCTGGCCCGGGGTGGCCAGTAGGTTGCCTGCGGCATTGAGACTCTGCAAGTTCTCACAGGCGGCCAGCGGCTCCAGGCCCGTCAGCTGATTGTTGGAGACATTGAGCACGGCCAGCTGGCGCAAGGAGGCCAGCGGGCCCAGGTGGGTGAGCGCGTTGCCTGATAGGTCCAGCCACTCCAGGCCCAGGCACTCTCCCAGGCAGCCCAGGTCAGCCAGTCCCAAGCCACGCAGCTTCAGCAGCAGGATGGACTCCAGGGAGAACTCGCCTGTGCGCAGCTTCAGCAGCTGGGGTGTGATTTGCAGCCCGCCAGCCTCTCCCGGCTTCTCCCCTGGAGGCTCCATGAGATGGAAGTCGGCTGGGATGGCCTGGGCCCTGGCAGGACTGTCACAGGGTTCCACTGGGGGTCAGCTGGTGCTTGCCCCGAAGCAGGCACCTTCCACTCTCCCCGGGCCAGTGCCAGGAGGCCTGGTTCCAATTCCCTGCACGAAGCCAGCCAGTCCCTGAGGAGAGACAGTCAGTCAGCAGGCAGCACTTTCTGTGTCTTATGCAGCAGGTGACGGCAGGGAGTCTGACCCTGCTTTTACCATGAAAACCAACAATCTCGGCCAGGCAAGACCTGAAGACCAAGCTGGGACACAGCCCACAAAAACCATCTGAGTGACAGGGATGGGGTGCAGGCCCAACCCAATGGGAGCAGCCCAGACTGGCCCCGGCTGCTTAGGGCCATGCTGGATGGATTCAGGCCCAATATTACCAGTTCTTTCTGTTAAATCCAAACTAGGGGCAAAACATCATTATTTTACTTTTTCAGTAACCACTCACGATCCATCCCTATTAATTTGGGGGTGTACTTTAAGCCGTTATGTTTGAACAGGCAATAGGTAACCACCATCACCAGTTTGTTTTCTTTCTGGGATAATCAATACATATGCAACGCAAATGAGAGCACATGTGCCTTGTTTGATTCAGTCAGTATTACTGCAATTCTTTCTAACAGCAATGAATTCAAACTTGTTTCCAGATTATATGGGTCAACTGGTGCCTCTGGTTGGAGCTGTAAAGCATAAGAAGTTGGCCTTTAGTCCTAAAGGAGGAAACTGAGGTCAAAGTAGCAAAGGGTCAGGGAAGGCTGGGGTAAGTGGCCCGGCTAGGTCCCACACCCTTGCTCCTACCACTTCACTGCCCACCAAAGCTAGCTCTTTTACTCTGGCCTCCGCTGGACAGATCAATGGAACAGCACTGGTATATATATGTGCCAGACAGCATGGTGCCAGCTGCAAATACAACATAAATTTCCCAAAGGGCAGGCTGTCTTGGTGGGAGGGGAGGGTGGCTCCAGAAAGCCAGGATGGGCACATCAAATTGCCAGGGGCTGCAGGACCAGGTGAGTCCAGGTGCCAGTGCATGACTGTGGCACAAAGCAGGGGTGGCCTGGTGGAGGGACCACAAGATTTAAGCAGGAAGGAAAATAACAGACCTCTTCCAAGCGCAGCTTTCCCAACCTGGCAGACTTTGGCCAGGTCCAGTTCCAGGAGTCTCACCCAGGCCGGCGGGGTGATGCCTGCCCTGCAGATCTGATGCAGGGTGTCGGCGACTCCCGAGTCTGAGTTTACACATCAACACTTTTCATTTTCCCCTCTCCAAGGAAACCAGGCCCAGAGCCTGGTCCACTTAGCTCCTCCCACACCATCAACAAAGATATTTACTATGTTCCCAACCAGGGAGCTAGCGAGGATGTAAACAGTCTTGCCATCCTTTTGTCCTCTCCACCCCGTCTGGGAAGGGGAGTCCTTGTGCTTATGGCCCCCATTTCCTTATCTAGCTCCCTTCTAGTCTGCAACACTCCAGTTCATTCTCTTTTATTTATACCTCATTTCTTTCCAAAAGGAACTGGAAGCATCTGCCAAGAAGTGTGGATTCCCTCCATGGGAATGGAATCTTTTGGGGTTTGTAAACAGGGAGTGATGCAATCAACTTTGCATTTGATTAAAGCTGCTCTGGTCCCTAAGATGGGGGGTGCAGGAGGAGTACCAGGTACTAGAAACCTGTCTGCTATGAAAACAAAAGATACAGGCCCTAAGGAGGGCAGGAAGCAATGGGGAGGAGGAGAAAGAGTCTAGGACAACTGGGGAATCTGGCTGGGTGACTGTATGCAAGGGGCTCCTTTTTTTTTTTTTTTTTTTTGAGACAGAGTTTCACTCTTGTTGCTGTGGCTGGAGCGCAGTGGTGCAATGGTGTGATCTCAGCTCACCGCAACCTCCGCCTCCCGGGTTCAAGTGATTCTCCTGCCTCAGTCTCCCAAGTAGATGGGATTACAGGCATGTACCACCATGCCTGGCTAAATTTTGTATTTTTAGTAAAGATGGGGTTTCACCATGTTGGCCAGGCTGGTCTCGAACTCCCGACCTCAGGTGATCCCACCTGCCTCAGCCTCCCAAAGTGTTGGGATTACAGGCATGAGCCACCCCACCTGGACTGGGGCTCCCTTCTCAGGCATGTGAAATACAGGTGGGACAGGTTGGAGACAAGAAGACATCCAGCTACACAGCACTCAGCTTGAGTGAATGTGGCATGGGGCTCAGGAGGCAGCTGGAGCTCCAGGCTGGAGGGATCCAGGCACCATCAGCAGGGAGATGGCAGCTGGCATCAAGGAAGGCATGCAGTGCACAGGGCCAACCATGCTGGGGACACAGAGCTCTCTAAGAACCCGCAGGCCTCTCTCCAGGAGCAGGCATCCCTCCCACCCACCCACCATTTCAGGAGTGAATGTGGAGGATGTCCTGTACACAACGAGCAGCAGAGGTGGAGGCTAACCTATGAGGCTGAATGAATGAGTCTGTGAAGGATTCTGCCAAGCAGCCAGAGGGAGGAGAACATGGAAGGCTTTTAAGGAGTGAGACCAACACTGCTAGGATGCCCCACTGGACTCAGATGAGATGAGGCTGGGGAGACAGCCACTGGATGAGCAGTCCTGGGCACAGGTGAGGCCAGAGTGGGACTGCAGAGGTTAAGGGAATGCCCTGAGGAACTGGGTCAGTGGCTTTTTAGATGGAGATGATGGCTCAGCAAAGGGAGAGACCAAAGACACAGGCAGACAGAGGCAGGCAACTGTGCATGCTCACACCAGGAACATGGTTTACAGAAGAGGAAACGGAGCAGAAAGACCCCACTGGGACACAAATCAGCCCTTCCCTGCTGCCCTCCAACACACAGCCCTGCACCAGTGTGGCCCCGTCCTGCCCTCACCACGATGCAGGCCGCCTGGGTCTTGGTGATGGGTTGTGCAAAACCCTCATTCTCTTGGGGGTCAGTGACCTCTGCTGTGTTTCTGGTCCATCACCTGCACACTGCAAACAGGTAGCCCAGTAAGACCAAGAACCAGCCGGTGCCCACCTGTGCAGCCCCAACTAACATCAGGCTGCCCGCAGACATAAGGAGGATGGCTTCCCGCACGTCCACCAGGTTCAGCACTCCTCCAGTGGGAGCCGTCATTTTCCTAACTATGGAAATGAAGGGAACAGAGACCTCCTGGCCCAGCAAGAGAGTCTGGAAAGAGGACTGGTGACAAGGATGGCACTTGGGCCCTTTGAGGGAGGTTGACTGAGAACCAGGGAAGACGGTCCCAGGCCTTGGTGAGTGTCTTCTACCTGGGAAATGATGCGCAAAGGGCAAAGCTAAGTCTAGGGGGAGGAATGCTTCAACCCAGAGCAGCCTGGGGTGGACTGGAGGCTCTAACGCTCTAGAAGAGGGGTTCCCAACCCTGGCATTACTGCCATCTGGACAGGCTAAGCCTTGGTTGCGGAGGCTGTCCTGTGCATTGAAGGGTGCTGAGCAGCATCCCTGGCCTTTGTCCACTAGACACCAACAGAACCACTCCCCTTACCCCACTTGGAACAACTAAAAACGCCTCCAGACATTGTCAATGTCCACTGGGGGACAAAACTGCCCCTCGATGAAAGTGAAGGTTCTAGAGCCCAAGCCCCCTGGTTTGGTGCCATCAAGCTCTCTCACCCTCTTCCTTTCACCCCCACCCAATCTTCTCACATTCTTCTCCCGAGCCTCGCTGCCTCACCAGTCCTCTCCCGGAACATGAGCCCGCTCAGTGATGCCACACAGCAGAGCCACGATGCCACTTCCAAGAACAGTTCCAACTGTTCAAGGACGGAAGCACAGACACGCACGCTGCCTAAGGCAACCTGAGGATGCATCACATTCCCGGATCCTCCGCGCTCCGACATGTGAGTCAGGATCCTGCGAGTGAGGTGCAGGACACTGCAGGGAGAGGTCCAGCAAGCCCTGCCCCTCCTATCCAAATGCAATGGCATCAGAGCCAGGGGCAGTAGTAAGGCCGCTCCCCAAGACAAACCCGGCCTCCTATCACCTGTGAATGTGTCCCCAGCACTCCACTCCCACTCCTAGTGCTACAGGCAGTGGAGTGATCTAAGCAATCTGGAGGCCAGACTTTAATTCAAATCATACTATTCCAGTCATTAAAAATGTTTACAAAACTTTATTTAACAGGTGCAGTTATTATACTGTGAAAATGAAAATATCACATACTAAACAGTACCTAGGGTATGATCTCAATGTAAAAGAGGGAAAAATGTCAAACTATTGATAGAGGCTATCTCTGAATGAAAGGAGTATAGTTAATTTTTCCTGCTTCCTTACATTTTCAGTAATATCCAAATGTCAGAATGAATTGGTCATAGTGAAACACAGGGCTGGCAACTCATCTGGGAGAGGCAAGGGAACAGGTTCCTGGGGCTGCCAGCCAGTAAGGGGAGAGTCTGTCCCTTCACCTCCATGGCCAGTGACATGCTGCAAGTTAGGCCTGGAGCCTTCCCTGCCTCTTCCAACCTGCATCTCAGCAGCCACCCTACCCAGTGACCAGGAACCCTTAGGCTACCTGGATGCAAGTCTTGCAGGGTTGACGGGCCACCCCCTTCTTTCTTCTGCTGTCCAATCCCACTGGTTCCTGGATCCTAGGCCCTCAGCTCTGTCCTAAAGGAACTCTGAGCAATCCATGATGAGTGTGTGCTACACACATCCTTTCTCTCTTCCAAATAAGGAACTTCCCCTTTAAAAGTGGTCCACGACAAGCAGGGGCAAGGGTGATGGCGGGCAGGGTGTACAGCCGGCCGCTGGGAGCCCAGAAAAGCTACTGAGGCTGCTGTCACTGGAGGAAGAAACCCCAAGGTTTCCAGCAGTCTGGAAATAGACTATTGGTAAGAACACCATTTGAGGACTGGCATCTCAGCTCTCCTAGCTAGCTGGTCAGTCCCATCAATCGGGTTCTCTGGCTACTCCGATACCCCCCAAAAGACTGGTGTGGGGGGTATGTGAGCACTCTGGAAATGGCTATTCTACCTTGGGATTTCCTTCTCCCTACACTGCAAGCCTCAGAAAGTGCTGCAATAGCTTACCCAGCCCCCAAGAAGCTGAGGACATATCCTACCTGCCAGCACACGCCCACTCCACATCCTTGGCCACTTTTTGAGAAAGCAAGCCTCTTAAGGGCATGTATCCACTTCTCCACACAGACAAGGTGTATTCAAGGACCTTCACACCCACTTATGTTTTAACAGAGCATCACATGTACAAAGCCACGTAGTACAAAATTCACAGTCACCTACGAAGAGAGTAAGCCTCTTCTCGGCACATACTGCTAGACATAAAGAAAGTAATGGGGAGATGGAAAATGACATCTCCCAGAAAAAAAAAATATGGCAATCTGTCAAGTGAGAAACTGACCCTTTCTTACCAAATAGGTTTAAGATTCTGGCCATCAGCATGTGGCACCCAGGATGCAACACCCGGCTCTCTGCTTTGACCTACTACAGACAGGGGCTCTCTAGGAGTTCACGGGCAGGGTGAGCACTGGCACCTGCCATGTCTGCCATCCCACCCTGAGCGGACTGCAGGGCCTGTATCCCTTTGGCCAGGTCACCACTAGAGCAGATGAGGGGAGGCGGGGTGTAGTTGGGGAACTGCTCCAGGTTGGTCTTCAAGTATGCTCAATGGCCTCCACGTTGAGAAAAGAGTTTCGCTCTACAAGGGTGGGGCTGTTCAGGGAGGCAAACATGCTTTCAGAGAAGCCTCTTGTCGGGGGTAAGACAGACAGATGGTGGCCAGGCTTCTTGCTTCTTCTCCCAGGAAGCCAGGGGGTCATTCTGGGCTCCGACGGTCTCATTCTCCCAGATACGTCTTGACAATGACGCTGGCCCAGTGGCTCTTGGTGGACAGCGAGTCCCCACTCCTCTCGGAGGCCAGCAGCCCCACGCTCTCCAGCAAGCCCTTCTCCCTCTGGGCCAGCAGGAAGGCCCCAGAGCAGCCACTGCTCTGCAGAGGCTCCCCCGGCTCTTCCCCTCCACCCTGCAGCTCCTGGCTACCCTGGTGGGGTCCACGCACAGACCCCTGGGGCTTTGCAGGGGGCTGGGGGTTGGGGGCGGTCAAAGAGTATTCAGACACCCTAATCTCCTTCACCTTATACACAAGGACTTGCTTCCAGTGGTCAATGTCAGCCCCCACAGGAAGGATGGCCTCAATCTTGCCCTTGAAGCAAGGGTCCAGCAAAGTGGCCAGCACAAACTCCTCACAGTAGAAGAGCTCATTGAGCTGACAGTCGGTGCAGAGCTGCAGGGCCAACCCCTTAGCCAGCTGGATGGCTGCGCCCACCTCCCCGACACTCTGCTCCTGAAAGTGTCCATGAACCTGCTCCAGGAAGATGTGCAGGGAGCGCAGCTGGGGCAGCACCTGGCTCAGAGAGGCCTGCACCACACTCGCCTTGCGGACCGCCATCTGGAAGGGCTGCAGGAGCTTGCTGAGGCTGTCTGCCAGGCTCCAGAATGTGGCCGACAAGGCGACACCAGCCTTCCCCAGCTGGTGCCTGCCCTTGTACTCTTGAAGGGGCTGCTGCTGCTCCACCAGCCACTCTGGCAGGTGGTAGGCCGAGACCCAGTGGACCAAGAGCTCCTCAAGAGGCTGGTGGGCCGGGAGGGCGTGCTGGCGCTGGAGCTGGGTGAGGAGCCCCCGGGCCTCCACAGAGCTTTAGAAATGGCTGCAGATAGCCCTGGCAGTGCCCAGGATGATCTGGACACTGTGATGGTGACACAGAAAGTTTCTTACCAGGGAGTCAAGGCAGTGGGTGAAACAATGGATATGGGTATAGCCCTCGCCCTTGGCCACCTGCTCCAGGCTGGGGCAGCCGCTCGATACCAGTAAGCCCGCCCGCAGGGAGCCACGGCCCAGCCACAGGCTGGCCTGCTCCAGCACCTCCAGCTGCCAGTCCTCTGCAGCTCCCTCCAGGGGCAGGCCTCGCACCCAGAGCATGGTTCCCAGCATCAGCCCTTCTACCCTCTTGGTGTGGGAAGCAGGGAGGCAAAGGAACTCCAACCAAGCTCTATCCAAATGCAAACGAGGGTGGCTGGGGGAAATCGCTCAGAAGCCTACGTGCTTTGTCTGAGGCACCACCCCTAGAACCTCCAGCTTTCAAAAGTGGCCTGGACAGGGAAGTTGTTTTCCTTTTTAAGAAGGACAGGTAATCATAATATTTCCCAGGCTGGACTGAAATGATTAAGCAAGCATGAGACCAGATAATGGACCCAACCCACAGCCACTACCTTCTGAGGGAGGAAGTCCCTCATGGGCAGGCCGGGCTTTATTCACATCTTGTTTCCTCACAGCCCACTCTTGGGACAGGGTGCTGGGAACTGTCCCAAGCAATGGGTGGCGGAGACAGGCAGACAGGGTGGCCGAGGGCCGCTGCAGACCTGCGGCTCCCACACTCACCCCAGGCGGACAGGGTGGCCGAGGGCCGCTGCAGACCTGCGGCTCCCACACTCACCCCACCCAGCTCCGGGCCAGTGTGATGGGACTGATTTGCTCCCTTGGATACTGCACCTCGGTCCCTGTCTCCCGGGTGCCCACAGCACTGGCTGTGTTACCGATATCTCCAGTGCATCTGAGCTTTCATTCCCCTTGATGTTGTTTGTGCTGCTGTCTATTCTAATCTCGGTCCCTTACTCCTTACTGTTCTCAGGTACCGGGCAACCTCAGGGATAAGTCAGCAGAAGCTCCAGGCCTGCATAGCAGGAATACTCCTGGTTGTTTTTCTAACCACGAAGAGCAACCAAATGGAAGACCCAGCCTATTGAACTGCATGTTTGCCAGAGACTTGCTTTTTCTGCCATAGTGTCCTCCTGAAACTCCCCCACCTTGAAAATGTCTCATAGGAGACTAGGGTTCAACTGGATTGCCCAAGACTTGATCTCTGGCTACTGGAAGACTGAAAATTAGACTAAGGTGCTGAGACACCCAGGGACACCAAGGTTAGGTGAGGGTTTCCTAATCCTAGAGCATGGGACTTGCTTCATACCCCAGATCCATCCTCCACTGGACTGGGCTAGGCCTACCATCCACAACAGGGGGTATGTGTGTGTATTCATAAAAAACGTGACTTGGGAAGGCTAAATGTTAAGACCAGTGCCCCTGTACCCCTCCTGTGCTGTCCAGGGAAGGATATATGAAGCAAGGACTAAAATTCTTAACTTTTCCAAATTCTTGGGTTCAAGGAAGCCCCGTAAGGGAGGGCCTCTTCATGTGGTGTGCACAGCCGGCGTCCTGCCCTGCTGCAGCGCTGATTCAGTATCATGGTAACTAAGGAGAAAAGGGGGCCTCATTTACATCCTGTAGGATCACCACGAACCTCCCTTGCTAGGCTGAAATGGGACAAGTGTGATAGAACGTGTTTAGGGGTGCACATCTGATCCTGGGTTTGTTTTCCCCTGATGCTGCCCCCTCTAGTTCCTGTATTTGTCTGGACTTTGTAGCAGTTGGTGACTGCTAGGTGGCCTAGTTTGTGTAAATATACAAACATGGAGAAAGTTGGTCTTTTTCCATGTTCTTTTGGGGTTTTATTGTTTACAAACTTTTTTGTATTGAGAGAAAAATGGCCAAGGCATCTTTACAGAAAGTTCTGAACCAGGCAAAAAGGATGTAAAACATGAGTTTGGGGGACCCTCGTATTGAAGTAGGGATCTTGAACTATCCTTTCTTTGTGTTCCCCTTCCTCTATTTCCTATTTTGGACCAGATCTTCTGCCCTAAAAACTTGACTTCTATCCTACCTAGTTCTCCATCCACCTCCCCCAAAAGAAAACCTACATACCCACACACGCATATATGGAATTCTTGGGCTATCTCTGCAACTCTTAAATGATGTATGTGAACAACCTGAAGAAAGTAGGAACCCTCCATCTCTTGTTCCCAACCTGAGTCAATGTGGTTCACCCCACTTAAGATATTGCTTTATTTGGATGGATCAAACCTACTTAATCTGTAATCTCAAAGGAGGGAGAAGCGACCAGGGGCTTCCACGTAGAAGTGGGGTCAGGAGACCAGGCAAAGGAATATGAGTATATATCCAAGTCACTTGGGAATTTTGTGCAGGTGCAAGAAACCTTTTTTTTTTTTTTTTTTGAGACCAGGTCTTGCTCTGTCGCCCAGACTGGAGTAGAGTGGCACAATCTTGGCTCACTGCAGCCTCAACCTCCCAGGCTTAAGCAATCCTCCCACCTCAGCCTCCCAAGTAGCTGGAATTACAGGTGTACACCAACACGCCTGACTAATTCTTTCTATTTTTTGTACAGACAAGGTCTCACTATGTTGCCCAGGCTGGATTCCAACTCCTGGGCTCACGCAATCTTCCTTCCTTGGCCTCCTAAAGTGCTGGAACTATAGGGATGAGCCACCACACCCGGCCCAGTGCAAGAACTTATGTCAAAGTGGCTATAAGATTGTTTAAAAGGAGACCGATGAATGTAACCCCATGTTTAATGCTAGAAACCAAAGCTTTATGTGAAATCTTGAATTTAGGTGCAGGGAGGGAGGGTAGAAAGGCCTGTACCTTCCCTAATCCCTGGCCCCTCATTCCTGAACTGCAGAAGACCAAGCCCCTTGGGTTTTGGCTACTCCATCTCTGGGATGCATCTATTGGATGACTGATTTTTCTGTACCAGGTACTTCCTTTCCCATTTCCTAATCACTTTGTAACACACATGCTGACCCTTTTCACTTCCCTTCTCCTTTCCCTGGAAAGATATAATGAATAAAGACTTTTTGGTACTGAAAGTCAAAAAAAAAAAAGATAAAAAAGATCTGACAATGAGTGATGTTAAACATTACTCACCAGGGTAATGTTTAAAAAGAGTCACCAGAGATGGCAGGGCTGCCTATATAACAGGTGACAAGACGGCTAAGAAGGCTCAAGCAAGACTCTGGACAGAAAGAGGAGCTCCTTCCAGCCAGAAGAGCCTCAGAAGGGTTAAGTGGCAACAGCTTCAAGCCCATCTCGTAAGAACTTTCAGCCACCAATAAATCCAAGAACTGAAGGCCTACTGCAGGGTGATGATTGTGGAGGGGCTAGGTAAAGCTGCAAAGGAAACACAGGCTGCTGTCCTGGGTCCACAACTGCTCTCGGATGTCACACTGGAGGGGACTTAACTCACACTTCATGACTGAGGAAACTGCAACCTCAGAGTGTGAACATCCAGGCCTCCACAGGCCGTCTGCAGAACAGGGTCACACTCCAAAATCTTTTTTTTTTTTAGACTGGGTCTTGCTCTGTCACCCAGGCTGGAGTGCAGTGGCATGATCTAGCTTGTTGCAACCTCTGCCTCCTGGGTTCAAGTAATCCTCGCAACCTCATCCTCCAAAGTAGCTGGGACTACAGATGTGCACCACCACACCCAGCTAATTTTTGTGTTTTTTGTAGGGACAGGATTTCACCATGTTGCCCAAGCTGGTCTTGAACTCCTGGGCTCAAGCGATTCCCTTGCCTCAGCCTCCCAAAGTACTGGGATTACAGGTGTGGGCCACTGCACCTAGCACACCCCAAAATCTTCATCTTAAGACCTATCCAGTTACCCCAGGACACCAATCTTGTTCTGTTTCCCAATTAGCTTTGTCTCATCATAAATGCTATACTCTGTAGATACTCTTGATTCACTCAATCATTTAATAGAAAGTCATCAAATGTCTACTATGAGCCAGCACTGTGCATTCAAGATATGAATAGAAGAGAGTAGTTGCCTGGCTGGCACTTGGGGCTCAGGATGAGATGACAACCTAGAAATGGGCTCATTACTAGACCAGGGGGAAAGCAGGGTACGGTGCTACGAGGCGGGGAGGGATCCCTGGGGGGCCCCCAGGCTGACCTACTGAGAAATACTGTCTTGCAAGGGGTTGTTTACCTTAGGCTATTGCTTCACAATCTTCAATCCCCGCAGACCCATCAGGGAGATCTGGGATCTTGTGTCATCACTGGTACAACAGTACCACCACCACGTTCTCTTCCACGGGAGTACTTCAGGACGACAGTGCAGCTGGCACTGTTGAGAGTCAACCTTCAATCCAAATGAATCTAAAATGTAAATTTTAAAAAGAAAGTCATTGACAAATTCCAGTACTTTATTACTAAGAAGTTATTTGTGGCTGGGTGTGGTGGCTCACGCCTGTAATCCTAGCACTTTGGGAAGCCAAGGTGGGTGGACTGCTTTGAACTCAGGAGGTTGAGACCAGCCTGGGCAACATGGCAAAACCTTATCTCTACAAAAAAAAAAAAAACAAAAAAAATCAGCCAGCTGTGATGGCCCGTGCCTGTGGTCCCAGCTGCTTGGCAGGCTGAGGCTGGAAGATGGCTTGAGCAGGAAAGTGGAGGTTGCAGTGAGATGTGATCGCACCACTGCACTCCAGCCTAAGCAATAGAGCCAGACCCTGTCTCAAAAAAAAGAAGTTACTTGTGACACACATCACCACAGCTGACAACACACTGGAGGCCTACAACCACAAGAAGACAAGATTCCAAGGGCTTCTAAGCTGAGGCATGGCCTTTTGGGCTGCACGCCTGCCCACAGTCGATCATGTGGGCGGCAGTCAGGAAAGCGCCCTAGCCAGACCTCACAGGAAGCAGGCACATCCCTGGGAGGCAAAAGGGAAAGAGGGCCAGGCCGGGGTGATGGCAGGGCGGGGTGATGGCAGAGCGGGTGGAGGAGACTGTGGGGAGAGCTGTTCAGGAGGTGGCCCACGCCTAAGCCTTGAGTGGAAGACGAGGAAACGATGGAGAGAGACTCCATAGTGATCCTCTTTACTCATACAGGTCCATGTGGGCTATTTTGGGGCAAATCTTCAGGCAAGTTTCTAGAGAAACTGAGGGAAAACACCAGAGGGTGCTGCCCAGGTAATGCTGACGATACAGGGAGGTGAGAGGATGAGCAGATCTCAAAGGTGACTGAGAGGCAGAGGAGAGAGACAAAGAAAAACCAAAGTAAAGTGAAGTTAGGGAAACC